ATGAGTGCACTGTGCACATTATTCATAAGATAAATTGTCAGTATATTCAATTCTTAATAAAACTATTCCTCATTTATCATTCATGGGTTTTTTTAATGTTCAAATTGACATAATCAATTAATGTATTGGCAACATTAATTTTTTAAAGAGATTTCACACCCCCCTTCTTGAAAAGAAAGGAAGAAATTGGGGAAATTAGAATGTTTCAAATGTGTCTCCTAGACATTAAAAAAGTTGCAAACTAAGGCAATAAGTTTCCCCTAATCATCCTTCTGGATGGTCATTCCACCAAGCATAATGATTTAAGAACTTTTGGTGAATTTTATTTGTGAGTATGGGATTTATCTCATCAATGGCACCATTAAATATTGATTAGGAGGCTTGAAAGCATGAGTGTATAAAATGCAGATATTTTTAACGTGCAAAATCCAAGTTGAAGACAATTTCCAAAAATCAAATCTAATGTTATAGTAGAATGAAAGCTTTCACACCCAGAGAGAAAAAGATGTTATGTGACAGAAGATTAAAAGAGCACAGTGAAAAATGAAACCGAGGTACAAAAGAGTGAATGAGGAAAATATATCTTCACAGCAGGGAAAGGCATGCCAGGACATAAAAACGAGAAGAATGAAAGTACAGAAGGACAGGTGAGAAACGGAAAGTGAAAATGAGTGATAAAAAAATAAAAGCATGTTAGCTGTAAACAGAAAGATCAGTTGATCTTCCACATATAAATTTACATTTCAATGTCTGTATAGTGCTAAGGCTTATTTTAACATGCTAGCTTTAGTGTTACTTAAATTGCATTATTCTATTTTTTTAACTTAGAGATAAAAGGTTTTTCACTTTGACATCAATATGAAAGCACACACACACCATAAAGTTAACATTAATGTAATAGTTTCCAATGGTTTGTACCCTTAATGCTCTTCACTGTGCTGTGACAACAGAGTAGGCTCTCTCTCCTGTTTAAGGTACTTAGTCATTCCTAAGATGCTGTTGGTAGCACTAGGGGTTAGATATTGGGCTGTTCAAATCAGTGGTTCAAACCCAACAGCTGCACTGCAGGAGAAAGATGAGACTGGCAACTCCTTCAAAGATTTGCAGTTTCTCAAACCCCATTCAGGATCACTGTGAGTGAGAATTGACTCAATGACAGTGGGTTTTGAATTTAAAATATTTGATAAGCAAATATGTCAGAGTTTTGAGTCAGCCAAACACATAAGTCAGACTGTTAACTTACAGTGCCTCAAAATCAATTTAGGGCTCTCAATATAAAATGATGACTGTGCTTAGGTCTGAAGCTCAAAACTCCATTTGAAGCCAAAAGTAACTTCTGCACTAAGAAATACATCATATCATTTCTATGACACTTCACTGAACTCTGAGAAAATTACTGGGTAAACAATTTTAGAGAAGAATATAGTTATGTTTGCTTAAGGGTTTTGCTTGCTTAAGAATATCTCCTGTTCAGAAAACTGGGTTCAAAACAATTCTTAGAACGTGTGCTTACTCAGTGTAAACCTTAGAGTTCCACGGGCCCTCCTTGTGGTCACACAAGGAGGGCTCATGACTGTTTTGATGCCAAATGCACCCGATTTGGTAACTATTACCTACATATCAGCCAGCCAGTGAATGAATCAAATTTTTCTTTCAGCTACTTTTATTTCCTTATAGAAACTCCCTGAATTGTCATCTTCTTAGGTCACTTATTTCAGAATTCTCTGGACCTTGTGATTCCCAATTCATGAATTCTCTATTTGCATTTCCCTCCTATGCCTTCCATGAATCTCTTTGTTTTAATTTTAACAGCGACTCCAGTGTGCTGCTTGACACTATAATAATGAAAATACACTATAATAATTGAAAAATTAAATTCTCACAGATAGATCTTAATAGCAGATAATGAATTTAAAGTGCAAAATATAAGATTTATATATAGTACAGACTAATACTACAGTGATACAGTCTTCTCATTTGGCTAAATGATCACAAAATTTCATGCATGAGAAATATGAACAAATTTATAACTCTGAATTTGAACTAGCACATATATCTTAAAAAAGTAGTGATGTCTTAGGTATAAAATATTTGAATATATCTCAACACATTTATTCAGATTTTCCCACCCTCAAGGCACTGTGCTACAAAGGTCAACCATAGAGAGAGGGGCAGAGATGTAAGAGAAGAGCAGAAGTAATTCTACAGCAAGGTAGACTATAATGAAGATATAAAAGCATTATGAAGAAAAATACTTAACAGGTGCACAAAGAGTTCAAAAGAAGAAGGTCATTACAGCAGGTGGAAGAATCAGGAAATGGAGTGGAGGATCTACTCCTTAAAGACTGATCTAGAAAAATGGGTAGGAATCAGACAATACAAACGCAGGCAATGTTCTCTTTCCACTGTGGTCTAGGTATCTATCCACTTTTCTCTGAATACAGTTTGCTGCTTTGTTCTAAATTTCTAGGCTTCTTTAGAGATCATCTCTACCGGATCCCTATAATACCAAGCTAATCATCATTTCCTGTATAAGGCCAACAATTTTCCTCTCCCCCTCTGTTCATCTACTCCTGGCATTCCCTTGTTTCCCTTCTCCTTGCCGGAAGTGGGCTGGGGAGAAATACACAAGTCTCCCTAGATTCCATGAATAATTGTTACCTCACAGGTATTTCTAAATCTCTCTTTGTACTCTTTACATATCTTTCATATTCTTTCACGTATAGAGCTTGTTCCTCTGGGCATATGAAGAGAGCCTTAATGGCAATAGGCAATGATAATATGCCCAGGCCCCAGTCCAGGGTCTGTCCCAACTTAACTCTTTCTAGTCAGTGTGTGCTCTGATAAAGTGAGTTATCGGTGGGGGAAGAGTGTGTTCAGGCAAAAACAAACAAGAGAAAAAACCAAACAAATAAATTGGGACTTGTATAACGGGGTACAAGCGGCGTGCTACGGAAAGACATAATGTGGGTTTGCTTTTCCTTTTGGGGTTATAAACCGAAGGATGTTCTGGAAGCTCCCGTTAAAGCTAAGAAGCAGAGCAGTCAATAGTTACTACTACATAGCCTTTGATGCATGTCAGTGCACTCTCCGAATTGCCATTTAAAGGTTTCTCTTTAGCAGTCTCTTTACCATAGTAGCCCTCCATCTATTATCAGACCAGGAAAATTGTTTGTTTTCAGAGTGCGAATAAAAATGGGATTTTCCTGAGGGTGAAAGCGGGGGATTCCCTCTCTAGCAACGTGTATTTTCACTTCGTCCATCGAAGGGAAGTAGCTGGTGGCACCAAGGAATCCCCCTTGCACCCAGCACCCGCTCCTTCCAGGGATGGGTCAAGGAGCCCTGGGACCCGCTAATTAGCTCGCCCCCATTGGTTGTCCCCAAGGCACCCCCTTGCCGTCACTGTGTTATGCAAATGAGGGGGAGCCTCATTGGCTCCCTTCCGAGGCTGCTCCTGAGGGCGTTCGCCAGGAGCGTGGGCTTGGTGGCGTCTGGGACCAAGACCCACTTGTCCTCCCTCCTGCCTGCTCGGGGCTGCGCCGGGTGCACGCCCGCCCAGGGACCAGCAGCCCAGAGCTGTCCCCGGCGCGGGGTCTTTACCTGCCGCCGCGGAAAGTGCTTCACCATCACCTGGCTCGCACTCCCATCCTTGCGCCTCCTTCTAGGCACCGCGCGGGTTTTTCCGCGAAGTAACTTTTGCACCGCTCCCTCCCCCCAGTCCTGGGGACCAGAGGCGGTGCCGAGCCCGGGGGCGGTTCCGTGGCAGCGTTGGTTCTAGTCGGAGCCAGACTTTTGCTCCTGGGCTTGGTGTGCATCATCCCACATCACACCCTCAGGAAAGAGGCTCCATCCCCCTTTCAGCCTCAGCTTCCGGCTAAGAGCAGACCCCCTCCCCCTTCCCCGTTCTCCCTCCTGTCCCTTTCTCGGCCACAATATTTCATTAGTCCTCTCCTCCGCAATATTTTCTCTTTCTCCCCCCATTTGTCGTTTTATGTTTCCCACTCTTTGAGGAAGCATGGTTGATTTGGAGAGCGAAGTGCCCCCTCTTCCTCCCAGGTACAGGTTTCGGGATTTGCTGCTAGGTGACCAAGGATGGCAAAACGACGACAGGTGAGTGGCTTGGTGCAACGTCGCTCCGTTAATATAGCTGGAAAAGAGACGGGGGCTGAAGGGATGACTGAAGGGGGAAAGGGGGAGAGAGGAGGACCAGGGAGCCAGCAAAGGAGACTATGAAATTGGAGGAGGGAGCAAAAGGCATTCTTTGACATGTCTCTCCATTTTGACTCCATAGAGCAGTTGTTCAGACAATGAACTACCCCCACCCCGCGTCACTTTCTTTTCCTTTCAATGCATTTATTACATTTATTCCGTGCTTACTCTTTTGTCTATTTGTGCCTCCCTGGGGCGTGTTTAAGGCTGGTGTGAGAGCGACAGTATGTCCAGATAACGCGCAGTTATCAGTGCGGAATACTGACGCCCCCCACCCCCACAAGTGTTATTCATCTATTTTGTACAAGTGTACCCAACTTGATAGGCAAGCACCTTAGAAACTTAAATCTCCTGCACCTATGGTACTTACTCCTCCTCCTTAGTGTTGCCTGGATGGAGTGTCTGCTTTGCGACTGGGCATTTTATGCTGTTTAGACATTTGGAGTTGCAGGTAGACAATTGGTTGATATATGTAACAGGTAGTTTGTGAAAAAGACGTTTGCAAAAGAAAATATCTACTTTGAACGGGTATTTGTGACGATTACTAATAGTGGTGTTTTAATGATGGGGTTTTAATGATACAATGCCACCTTTCCAGAATGGGTGTGTTTTGAGCTTTTTGTATCAGAATCCAATAGTTTCAAATCCAGGATACTTGTTATTAGCCAAGTATTGCTTATGCATTTCATCTACAATATCAACTGCTGTGCTCAGTTAAACTTCTGAAATTCATTCAGCCCTTGCTGTCTCATTAATGAAAAAGCTTATCTTGTGTTGGACTGAATTTAGTATTTTCTGGAATAGTCCTTTAATGTGCAACATGCATTGTTTTTCAACAGCATGTATACTAACTCAGCACTCAACTGGTATGCTTACTTGAAATTCAGTTTTGTATCAATGTGTTTCTTTTAATCATATGGAAGATCCATTATTGACCCAGTGCAGAATCTGTTGCTCATGCACTACTGGTCTTTATCTCACTACCTCACCTCTAGTTTCTTCTATTCCTACCCATTGAGAGTTTTATCTTGGGTCTTAATTATGACTTTTCCCTTGCTCTCAGATAGTGATTTAAGGGATATGGGAGTTTCTTAGAGGATAGGTTAGATTTCTTCTTTTAATGCAAAATCACATATGCTGGTTAAAAAATTAGAAGAACAAATGCCAGCTAATCAGTATACTCATAAAGAAAGGTGTTCTGGTTAGCAGAAGACAAAAGACTATTTTAAACAAATTTGTATTACTACTTGACTTGTACCTAAACTGTTTAGTCCAGTAAGTGACTTGTCAAGTGGTGTGTGGTTTCATTAAGTGATTGAATCTGAATTAGTTAGCATCGTCATCTAGAATAAAAATGCTCACTCTACAGAGTATCGATTGAAGCTGAATATCTTTTAAATGTAATGTTTATTATTTTTAAAAATTCCATATCCAAGGATTTAATTGCTCGTGTGGTTGTCATATTTTTCTAGGGCTGCTGTGAAATATTTCAGTAACTAAGACTTGGTTAGTTTTTAAAGTACAATTTAAATGAAGCACTGATTTTTTTTTTAAGTTTCAAACAATCTCTTAAAATATCTTTGGTATAGAATGCTACACTAGCCCAAGTTTCACTTAAGAATGAAGCCAGATTTACTTTTAAAATGAGGTTTATACTATGTAAAAATATTCAATCATGTTTGTAGGTTTGTGAATAAGCAACCTTTTGCTTATTCACTTGCCAGCTAAGGGGCTTTCTCCAGTCGTTCTGCCATTATAAGATTCATAAACTTATTTCTATAATGGAAACTTTACCTCATAAAAAAGTGACAGTTGGTGAAAGGAGTGAAATGTCTATAGGAATAGCTTGACATGAAGCAATGATTAATGCTTTAGTTTGTTATCTGTCACCTCAGTCAATCCTCACATAATCTCTGAATAATAGGTAATGATTGTAGAGACTGAGGAGCCGTGGTGGCATAGTGACTACATAGTGGGCTGTGATCTTCAAGGTCAGCAGTTCAAAACCACCAGTTGCTTCTCAGAGAAAGATGAGGCTTTCTACTCCCTTAAGGAGTTATAGTCTTAGAAACTCAGAGGAACAGTTCTAGTCTGTTCTATAAGGTCACTATTAGTAGGCATCAACTTTATGGTGGTGAGAATTGTGTTATTGTAGAGACCAGAATACTGGGTTTCTGGCCAGTTACTTTTTTATCTTATACGTTTATCTTGTAACATTTTTATCTTATATGTTTATCTTATAAGTTTGTCTTAATATAAGTTTAGAAATTACACTTGTGCAGAGTTCATTTGTGACTCAAATCCCAGAAGAACTTCAAGGAACACTTGATTTTTAAAAATGTATATTAAACATTTTTTTATAGCACTGAGGTAAGGTTCGGCTAAGGTGTGCCTGATCTAATCCATGGTATTTTCACTTGCCTCATATACATGTGAGAGTTGGACATCAAATAAAGAAGACTGAAGAAAAATTGATGTATTTGAGCTGTGGGGTTGGTGAGGAATTTGAAAATACCATGGACTGCCAAAAGAACACAAGCACTTTTGTCTCAGAAGTGCTTGCCAGAACGCTCCTTAGAGGCCAGGATGGTGATACTTCATCTCACATACTTTGAGCATGTCAGGAGAGACCAGTCCTTGGAGAAGGACATCATTCTTGCTCAAGTAGAGTGGCAGCGAAAAGGAAGGCGGCCTTGAACGAGAAGAATTGCCATAGTGACTGCAGCAATGAGCGCAGACAAAGGCACCTTTGTGAGGATGGCACATGACCAGATGCCTTTTCTTCTGCTCTTTGCTATGAGTAGGAACCAACTGGACAGCCCTTAACAACAGCATATATATATGCTATGTTAGCTCCCTTCTCTAGTTTTCACTTGGAGTTTGCAATTATTTTACTCTAATCTTAGTCTATATTGCTCTTTGCAGTCGAATCTGAGTAGCAATTTTACTGTAATCAGAAGTTTTCACAGATTTAATATTATACAGAATCGAGTTAAAAATAATTCTTATATTAAGACAAACCCATTGCTGTGATTCCAATGCAAAGTGAACCTATAGCTCAGCGTAGCACTGCTCCGTAGAGTTTCCGAGATGGAAGTATTGATGGGAACAGATACTCTCATCTGTTCTCCCATGAAGTTGCTGATTGATGCGAGCAGTTGACTTTGTAGTTGGTAGCCCTCCACTTAACCTGCTGCACCAGAGCTTAGGACATCTTTGACATAGGAAGAGGCAGATAGTCTCCAACAACAATTGCAATGGGTTCTGCCCATATTCTTTGGGGTGCTGTCTATGGATATCATAGGTCTGAGGTTTTGTTTGGTCCATCGGCCTCTAGAGTGCACAAGGCCTTCCAATAGTGTTACTGAGTAAATACTTCTGAAATTAGCCCTCAATCCATGACAGATAAGGGTAGTTGAGTAAATGCCAAAACTTCCTTACCAGTTAGTTGCGGTAATGCTGAAGCTTGTGTTTTTTCTCCAGTGGAATTAAGTTCCAGTTGTCCACGGTGGTAAGTAGCTTGGATAATCCTGGTTTGTTTGTTTTTTTCCTTTCTTCTCTTTTCCCTATTGGTATTTTCTGGGATCAGTTTCGAAGGAAGTTACTTAAACTCCAATCCTTATCTCAAGGTTTGCATCTGGGAAATCTTAGCCAAAATGGGCATCTTCTGTACCAAGAGTTATGTTTCTAGAGGAGGTGTGGGAATTTTCTCTTCACATGTGCCATACTTAATGAATTTCTAATCAAATCTTAGTAGGGATTGGTTGGCTAGCATGTAAAAATGAATGAGACGTAGGACTGATGGACAAAGGGTGACGTCAACGGGAGTATATAGGTGGGACTACATTTGATAGAGGAAAACCTATATACATATGAAGAGACTCTGAAGGTGTATTTTTAAATTCCATTATTGTTTAATTCCATTTTTCTGAGAGAATTTGAAGCATATATATGCACATACACATATTACTACAACTTACGTTTTCACATAAATAATACATGCATTTTATGTTTTTTTTAAAATCACACAGTTCACTTATGTATTAGTTTTGTGTGCATATATGCATTTATACACATGCACCTTATTTATGTGGGCATGATATATGCAAAAATGCTGTAGCTTCAATGCCGTCCTTGCCTAATGATACTCCCTCCTTTGTGTGGGGTCTCTGTGAATCCGAATTGACTCCTTGGCAGTGAGTTTGGTTTTGTTCCTTGTGTGACCGTGTCCTTCGTGGGAGGGTCATAAAGGAACACATATACACAGCAGTACCGAGGAATGAGCTTGTGGATAACACTAGTTCCTTGGGGTCTTGAAAAAGTTGAGAGTTGAAGAATGAGATCACTCCCGGTGCCATGGGGATGCCATGGGGATGTCTGTTGTGTATACAGTGCATATGTGTTGCTTTGGCATCCTGAGTAAAGCATAAAAATCTGGTTCAAGAGGTTTGCATAATGGTTCTCCAACAGCCACCATTTATCCTCTCAACTAATATTTGAACGCATGGTACGTCTCAGGGCCTCCATTAAGCGAAATCTGGGAAAAATACAAAGAGGAAAATGAAATAGTATCTAGTCAAGAGGTGTTCACAGGTATACTTAGAACTGTACTTCCCCCTGGATTACCGTCAATATTGTTTTAGTTACAGTGATGACTTGCAGAAATGATATTTTACAATTGTGTCACGAAGATCCTTTACCATTTGTTGAAATTATATTCCAAAATATTTGCTTGCAAATAGACTACTTCAATTCACTCTGAGAGTGCTTCACATGTTCACAGAAAAGTGAATTGAGGTAAGGGAATTCTCTGATGAACTTTTTGAAGGCCCTGTGCATATTATAGAGGGATCAAAATATGAATATTTTTATGATTTAACCTGGTAATGTTTACTAGAAGT